ACGACTTCCAATACGGAAACTCAAACAAAATTGACCTCTTCTTCCACCCACGTGTGACAAGCGTATGAGCAAAAGGCTTGCCAAACTTAATACTTACATCTTTCACCTTTTCAAAAATTTGTTCGCCGGTCAATGTAGGTGGAGCTTTACGTTGTTCTGAATTTCCATTGAATGCTTTTCTCGACCCACGGTAGTGATGACTTGAATTTAAGAATCTACAATGACCAAGAAAGACATTCTTCTGACCAAATTCCAACCGCGTCCAATCTGTGTTTTCTTCACAGATAGGACACACACATTGACCTTTAATGCTATACCCCGATAGATTTCTATATGCTGGGAAATCATTAATTGTGCCAAACAACATCACCCTCAAATTGAAACTTTCTTTCCTATATCCATCATAAACCTTCACACCGTTCTCCCAAAAACTCTTTAAGTCTTCGATTAGAGGTGTCAGGTATACGTCTATGTCATTCCCTGGTTGTTTAGGGCCAGAAATTAACATAGGTAATATCATGTACTTACGCTTCATAGATAGTCATGGAGGTAGGTTATAAATCATAATAATTACAGGCCAAGTGGAATGTGAGATACTCTGCAGACCATACGGATTCATTCCATCAGTCGATAATGCCAAGCGAAGGTTTCTAGCTTCTTCTCCAAAATCAGGATAATCACTATCAATTTTCATCCGCTGTGGTGAATCTGTCGGATGTCGATACTTCCCATATACAATTCTATCATCTGCATGCTAAGTCAGGTGTTTTTCATCTGTTTCACTACGAAACATGCGTCTGAATCTCGGAATTATAGGAAAATACCATAATACTTTTGCTGGTGACAATTTTTTCTTATACCGAGATACACCGCATTTAGGACACTCGTTTAATGATGCATATTCATTTCGAAACAAAATGCAATCATTTGGACAAGCATGTATCTTATCATAGCTCATGCCAATAGAGCATAACATTTTTTTAGCTTCATAGGTTCGATTGGGAAGAACATTATCCTCCGGAAGCATCTCTTGAAGTAGGGCTAACAACTTTGTGAAACTTTTATCCGACCATCCATTACCCGCCTTTAAATTGTACAACTTTAATACCGCGGACAATCTTGTGAAAGTAGTGCAACCTTTATACAACGGTTTCTCTGCATCGCTTACCAACCTCTCAAACATCTTGGGACAATCTTGAAGATCTTCTTCAAGTGCTTCTGCAATCTCTTCGACTCGATCACAATCATATGTATCCCTGTCATTGTTCTTTGAAGCACATGTCGTATTATTCTGGGGTTCAACATTCTCGTTACTTATCTCACCATGTAATGTCTAACATGTGTAACTTCGATCAATTCCATGTCTCATTAAATAAGATTCCAACTGAACGACATCAACTCGACGCCCATAACAGCATCCTAAGCAAGGACATGTGATCCTACTGGGGTCTTTGGCGTGTTCAACAGCAAACTTAACGAACTTCGATACCCCATTCTCGTACTCTTTTGACAATCGATTACCAGACATCCATTTTTTATCCATACTAATTGAGTAATCTACACTAAACTATAAAAGTTAAACAAAACAGAGAATACCTGTAAGGAAATCACTAACTTCTAAGAATGCTACGCAATAGGATGCTTGGAAACGATCACAACTTTGCTCTTCACAAGTAACCCCTATAGCAGACAAAATATAAATTTTATTAAAATCATATTAATAATTAACCAAGACAAAAATACTAGATAATCCACCAAAACAAATCATATTAAAATTACTAGATAATCCTTAAACCAAAATGACACCCTTACTAAACATTGAGAAATCCTAACTAAACATATAAAACCATAATAACATATAAAACCATATCATATAAAACCATATTCATGTTGGTTTTATAAACTCTCTTATCCATATAAAACTCTCTTAAAAAATATAAACTCTCTTAAAAACTCTCTTATACATATAAAACTCTCTTAAAAAATATATGTATAAACTCTCTTATCCATATAAAACTCTATTAAAAAATATAAAACTCTCTTAAAAACTCTCTTATACATATAAAACTCTCTTATTCATATAAAACTCTCTTAAAAAATATAAACTCTCTTAAAAACTCTCTTATACATATAAAACTCTCTTAAAAACTCTCTTATAAACATTGCATTTTCATGACCAAACAATGGTGAAACTCTCTTAAACATTGAAACTCTCTCAAACAATGGTTAAAAACTCTCTTAAAAACTCTCTTATAAACTCACTTATAAACTCTCTTAAACATTTCATGACCAAACAGTTATCACAAACAAAACTCTCTTATAAACTCTCTTAAAACATACAAAATATAAACTCTCTTAAAAAATATAAACTCTTGTAGAAAACATATTCAGTTCAAATACTTAACTCTCATATATAAACTCTCAAATCTAAACTCTCAAATATAAACTCTCATATAAACTCTCAAATAAAAACTCTCTATTCTACTTAAAGATTACAGCAACAATGGTGAAAACATATTCAGTTCTACTTAACTTGATTGCATTCAAATAATAAAAACATATTCAGTTCTACTTAACTTGATTGCATTCAAATAATAAAAACATATTCAGTTCTACTTAAAGATTACAACAACAATGGTGAAAATATACGTAAAAAAGAAAACCAGAGTAAAACTTCAAATACCGTAACAATGGCGGAAATGCAATGTAGACGAGCAGAGGGACGGTGAACGGCGGAGAAATGCAACAGAGGAGGGCGACTGTTGGACGGACGACGACGGTTGGACGACGACGGTTGGACAGCAACGGTGGGTTTATAGGGCAACGTTCTTTGTTCGCCAGAGAAAAAGAAAGAAAGAAATACGTAATGACTGTTCTGTTTCTCATAAAAATTCTGGTGGGTATTTTAAATTAATTCTAATAAACCTATAGCAGCGTTTTTTAATAGCTTTAGCAGCGCTTTAAAAAGCGCTCTCAAAGACCTTCTAATGTAACCCATATAGCCGCGCTTTATGGAAAAAGCGCTATCGTAGACTAGACCTACAGCAGCGCTTTAGAAAAGCGTTGTCTTTGGGCTGTCTTAGACCCCCCCATTTAGCAGCGCTTTTTGGAAGCGCTGTCTTAGGACTCCCCCCCCCCCCCTTTAGCAGCGCTTTTTAAAAAGCGTTGTCTTTGGGCTGTCTTAGACCCCCTTTTAGCCGCGCTTTTTAGAAGCGTTGTCTTAGGACCCCCATTTAGCAGCGCTTTTTGAAAAAGCGCTGTCTTTGGTTATCAATTTTTTTCTTTTTTTTTAATTCCTCTTTAGCAGCGCTTTTTCTAAAAGCGCTGTCTTTGTGTGCGCTGCTAAATGTCAATTCTGGCGTAGTGATTATGACTTAGTATTTTCTAAAAAGAGACTTCATCCTAAATTTCGACGGCAATATTGTTCAGGATTTCAACATCAACGGTCAGCAAGAGACGTCGACAAACAGCAATTGGTGCAAATAAACAATTTCAAAGCAATTAACTACTTTTTAGTCTTATCCAAAGGGACACGTGAAAGACGTTTCAGAGGTGAAAAACATGCAACAGTTACATGTCGAATGTTGAAGAGAAGAACGTTACAAGCAGTTATTTTATATTAGTATAAATAAGAGTTCTAGTGTTAGGATCTAGGGTGTTGAATTTTCTACAAAGAATTCACAAACTCATAGTACTCAAGCGAAGTGATAAACGAGCTACCTTGATAAAATGTACGATTCCAAACACCATTTCATTTAATGCATAGTTTTTTACTTTAATTTTTTTTTCGAACAATCTCATTTTCGTTCCATTTTCATTTTCTTTTCACTTTACTTTATCCTTTTACAAAGTCTTGTCACATAGTCATTCTTGAATTACTTTATCTTTCTAGCAATTTATTTGCACCACTTTTACATTAAAATTTCGACTACATCAAAAACATTTACATTTCTACACAAAATTCAAAAAGATTTTAAATACTATGTTTTAGAATTACCTAGTCAATCCTGTAAGTAATCTTCTAAAAAAAACTAACACTTATTTACTAAATTTTACAATAAACAGTAGTCAAGCGTGGATGCTTAGAATTTTTAGTCAACTTGTATAAATTAAGAGGGAATGGCTCATATGTTCATCCTTATTGTGATCTTGATGATGGTATAGATCTTAAATACTCATAATTCACCCCTTCCTTGCTTGAGTTGAGTTTTAATGTTATATAATAGTGTAAGACCTCACTTTGGTCGTAGTATGTTATGTTGGTTGACCAAGTATGACCTCATATGTCTCGTCATGTGAATGTATGCTAAAATACTAGATCGTTCTAATCGATGATGGGCTTGGTTGAGGTTTGTGTAGATATGATAAACTTAGAACAATCCAATTAGTCTTCAGTAGTACTCAATTTACGAGACACTTTCACTCAATCTATATGCATGTCAATCCGAGATGTCAATATGAGAGAGAAAAATTATACTCCCTCTAATTCAATTTATAATAAAAAGTTGATCTTTTAGATTAATTAAATAATCAATATATTTAATCATGATCCAGATTAAACATAATGATTATTTAATAAATGTAAAAAATAAATTTTAGTGAGCAATAGCACTAAATTATAAATAATTGCACAGCATCAATTAACCATCAATGTATTTTTTCTTTTTTTAATTTATACTTTTTACATAAAGCATCAGTAAATTTAGGATCGGTCATGAATTCTTTACATTTCTAATACCACACATTTGCACGCTCTAAATCATCTTCATTGTTAATTTAAGTTCAAATAAAGCATCAGTAAATTTGTGAGTTCAAAACCATCCAAAATCTCATCAACCAAATTAAGCTTAACCAACCATAATAGTAATAAGAGTTGCTAAATATAGTACTACATTAAATAAAATAAAACTTGGTAGATATGCTACTACCAAACATTAAATAAACATAAAGACATTAATGGTAATACATTAATACTAATATGATATGAAGCTGCTAATAAATCAACGGTGATGATGAGGGCAGAAAGTGATCAAATAGTTAGCATTGGTACAAGTAGCAATACTGGTAGGGTCATCATAGGCATAAGAGTAGGCTTTTGGGCAAGCAGTTTTGAAGATTCTAGAATAAGCAGTGGGCTTACAGGCCTGTGGGCTTCCAAAGCTACCAGTACAGCAATACCTAGGCGAGTTAAAGGCAGAACAAGCACTCTTACAAGCCACCACGCGCTTATCACGTGACCTCACTTGCAAGCCCACCGGACACATCAAGTTCAGATCACTCACACAACCGGCGTTGCTACACTTCCCAGATCCCTTTATAGGAGTAATGGAGATCGGTAAGTTGTAACCGTCGACGAGACTCACGTCGTAGAAATCAAGATCTTTTCCGAGTGTGAACTCAGCGAGTGTGGCTGGTGGTGTTCCGCCGATGCCGTTGCAGAAGAGAGATCCGCCGCAGTCTCCGGTGGCGCAATGGCCGCGTCCGGACGCGTCGAAGGTGCAGCCGTGACGGCCCCAGAAACGGCCTGACCAGAGAGGTGGGACTTGGAGAGAATAGGCTTTGTTAGGTTGGAGGTTGAAACCGCCGCGGGCTAGTATGGGCTTTCCTGCTCCAGGCTGGATGGCTGGCCATACTGGATGGGGACATTTGTTGGAAAATATTACTGTTGCTGCTGATACCTTCCGTACTGTTCAATTTAAACAACAAAAACACCAAAAGAGTAGATGAGAAAAGTTTTATAATAAATACTGAACAGTTTTATAATGCGAAAGTGTGAGAAAAAAGTGAAATGAGTTTTGAATACCAGAAATGTTAGAGATGAGAAAAGTAGTGAAGAGAGTGATGAGGATGAGTCTCAACATTGAGGCCATTGATGAGTTGAGCTGATTTTTTTCTCTGTGCCTCTTTTGCGGTAATGTAGAGTGTGTTTGGGTATAGCGACAAAAGGTAAAAGTTAAAGCGAGGATAAAATGGGGTTTTTCCAGCTTAATTGATGCGAGAAATTGTTTCAAATGCAGCCAACGGGCATTTGTTTTGTTAAAAGAGTTTCACATTGGGCAAAAATGAGAGGTAGCTTTATTAAAGTGTAAATAAGGTATTTTCATATTTGGGTTTAGGTTGAGTTTTGGGAAGGAAGTGAGGTGAAAGCTCAAGTCCCAAGGATAGTAAGAAGAGTGTCAGAGAGCGCGTGAGGGAGTGGGGAAAAGAAAGGGTTGTCGCATTACAGAACAAGAAAAGAAACATAAATCAAATGGATACAGTACACCACTGTACCATACAAAATTCAAATCAGAATCTCTCTTGCAGGATTGCACCACTAACATAAATTCAGAATGAAATTTTGATTTTTTCTATTTTGAAAAAACTACTGGAAGATGAAATCTACAGTATGTAAAGAGTGTTTTTATAGGGAGGATACTAAAAGTTATTTTAAAAGTGTATAAATATTTTTATTTCTATCAATTATTTAAATAACTAAAACCATTTTTTAAAATGAATAAATAAATTTAATTTTTTTCTTTTGTGTCTTACTTCTTATTTTTTCTCTCCATTACTTTTATTTATTTATTTATTATTTTCCTTTTCACTTTTTTTTTTCAATTTTACTTTTCACCTCTCTTTTAAAATTTCATTTCAAAAAACTGATCTCTGATCAAAAGAAATTCACATTTTAAATATAAATTATGTATTTTCTATTTTTTATTTTTATTTTTTTTGAATAAAAGAATTTATGTAGAGTGCTCCTCTGAAATATACACATTATTACTTTGACAGGTTTGATTCTCGTATGTAGTACGAACTGAACCTACGGGTAAAATGTTTGAGATGAGGAGGGTTCCATGGGAAGCGACGATTCATGTGAAAAGTAGCTTGAATCTGAATCCATTTCGTATGTTAAAGTACATTACAAGGATCCATGACCTGTGCCGAAGGTCGTAGACGTAGGAGAGAACGGGAAAAGGGATGCCTTGGTATAGTTTTCGATTTGTGATTATTTGAGTTTATAAGACATGTTTCCATACATTGCGATCCCTTTCCCTTTTGAATTGAGATAGAAATTGATTAGCACCTTGTAGAGCCGAGTGAACCTATAAGATAGGAGAACTCATTGAAATTATTATCTCACCCCATTATTGTTGTTGTTTTTCAGCTGTTGCTTGCAGGTTTAGTTTGCATGTGGAGCTATGCTTGGATGTTTCAAGAGAAGTTGAGTTTTTTTTTCTATTTCGCTGTGTATTTCTTATCATGTATCTTGTACAATGAAAGATATTGTACCTTGGTCTTAGTTTTGTTGTTTTGGCACTTTCCATATCTTGTACCATATGTTGTCTTTTATGTTTAGAAATGGTCAAGCATGTCAATTATGCCAATAAGCACTTATGATGGTGTCAATACCAAATAATAACTCTTGTGTGGTATTATTCTAAATATATATTATACAGGGTGTTACAGTTGTTTTGCCTAATCTTTTTTATGTTGGTGAACTATGGATAGAAAACTATAAGTAGTGATTAGTGAGCTATATTGTAAGGGATTAAAACAATAGAGAAATAAGGGATTATATACACAACCTGACCGCTTTTGTAAATTTGTTAAAACACTTCTTTTTTTTTCGCATTTCAAATTCGAAACCTACCCCCCCTCTCCCCCCAAATTTAGTATTTTCTACGCATTGCACAATATTGTCTTATTAAATAGTAGTCCCTGTGGATTCAATCTTTTTTTATTACTGTGACATTATCGATACATTTGCCGAAAAGTCACCACTAATCCTTTCCAGCACCAGACTAGAACCACGACGAGGGTGATCCTCTGTATGACCTTTGCTTCATGGACCATGACTTTCATCATTGTGATATTTATAATCTTTTTGTTTTATTTTAAATTATTTTTGTTTTAGTTTAAATTTTATCATATCAAATTTTGTGATGAAACTATTCAGATAAATGATAATGCTAGTTTGTTTATTTTCTTATGTCTATGTGATAATGTTTATTAGATTTTTACCTAACTCAATCTTACAAATTCGACTTAAAAATTGACTTATAAAAGGAAGAGGTAACACTCTATTTAATCTATTTCAATACTTTATCTCTAACCATTTAGAATATTTCCAATACACATCTCATGCCTAACATTCTTTTTTTGCTTAGTGCATAGAATTAAATGAGGACGGTCCAATGTCCGATCGATAGACTTTGATATCATATTAGAGTTTGACCTAATTCAACTTTACAAAATCGACTTAAAAACTAGATTGTAAGGTGATGATTGTCACTCTATATAAACTCTTTTAATACTCTAACTCCAACTACTTGGAATCTTTTCAATAATGCTTTGTAAAATAATGATCGTTTAATTGAAGTAGCTATTTTATATATGCTTACATGTCAAATATAGATTGATTTTAACATATTTTAGAAAAACTCTAGTGTGGTATTATTGATTTATACTGACAATTGAACAGACTCATAATAATTGATTGTTAAGTCACATTAAGTTTGATGTATTATGTAGGTTATTTATCTCCGATCCAACATGGTGAGCGACATAAAAATCAAAACATTTATTAATAATTTAAGAGTATTATAGCATATATTACTTATTCAAAACTTGTGTATATTCTTAACTAATTTTATTTGCGATGTTTACACACGTAAAGGCAAGTTGGTTTTTAGCCCTAAGAGCATCTCCAATGGTGCAACCCATTTTTAGGTTCTTTGTGGGACCCACTCTTTTAAAGCAACTCATTCAATTCCCGCTCCAATGGTGCAACTCTAAAGAATCCATATTGGGTCCCACCACTTTACTTAAAAAATATTATTTATATTAAATTTATTTTATTTAAAATTATAATTTAAATATTTAAATTTTAATTAAAATGATAATTAAAATAATAAATAAAATTTTATATCAAATTATAGTTTTTATATTATAAAATTAATATTTTAATATAAGAACCATTGAAGAACCGTTGCATATTTAAGAACTTTTCCATCTTGAAAACAACAAATATGAGTGCCATGTTGGCAAACCCACTCTAAGAACTCCCATTGGAGTTGGTCTAAGTCTTTCATGCTAACATTTATATTTTATAATCTTTGCATAACCCCGTTGAGCTTGTTTTCCTTAATTCGTTTTTAATAACTTATGGCCAAAATACATTCCTTGCCATACTTCTTTGAGCTTGTTTTACTTAATTTATTTTTAATAACTCATGGGTAAAATACATTGTTACCATACTTGGAGTTAGAAAGATTACGTCTCAGAGATATGATCTAATTTACGTTTTGAGTTGTTGTTGAAAAACAACCAATAAATTTATGGTATCTTCCCTAAATTAAAGAAATTGACTTCACATGAGTATATTGTAAAAGTAAGTTAACAAATCAACCAACTTGAAAAAAAACAAAAACAATCGACTCAAAAAGAAAAAATTGACAAATCAACTAGATAAAAAAAAATTGAACTCTTAAATAAAACATTATAAGTAGTTGCCTCAACTTGAATCTTGGTAATTTCGTTGAAATAGTTTATGCACGTAATATTTAATCTTAGATGTTGTTCATATAGTTTAGTTATATGTTTTTTAATATATATATATATATATATATATATATATATATATATATATATATATATATATATATATATATATATATATATATATATATATATATATATATATATATAGAGAGAGAGAGAGAGAGAGAGAGAGAGAGAGAGAGAGAGAGAGAGGCGGGGATCAATTTACTTCAACCATATGTTTTTTTAACTAATTCTAAATTATAGTTTTTAAATTAAATTTAATCTAATGATTAATTAAGGAAAAGACTAATTTAACCATTAGATTACATTCAATTCAAATGCTATGATTTGGAGTAAGTAAAAAAAATTTACTTTTCGAGTAAATTGATCCCCACTCTCTAAGAGTAAGTTTTTTTTAACTTACTCCATATCATAGTTCTTGAATTGAATATAATCTAATGATTAATTAAGTAAAAGGATAAATTAACCACTAGATTAAATTCAATTCAAAAATTATGATTTATAATAAGTTGATTCTCATTTTATATATACTAGCGTCCAAACGGGCACGTCCGTGCCCGTTTGTCCGCTTTTTTTATTGCGCTAACGTGCAAAAATATTAACAGTATATTTTTTTATAAATTTAATTTTACTATAAACTATTTATATTAATTTTAATATAAATTATTTATATGATGAAACATTAAGTTTTGTATTTATATATTGTTATAGATTAGTCAAAACCACAAAAAGATTTAGATAGAAAAAAAACAAAAATCTTTCTCACAATTTATTAAGCAACTAAACATAAATATTAATACGGATATTAAGTTACATTATTGCTTAATAGGAATGTCAACCATGGAATCAAACTCAGAAATATCTCTCGTTTCACTGCAAAACAAATGAAGTAATTCATTAATATATATGTTTATTAATTTAACTTTTTATTAAGTATATGGTCAATGAAATGCTTCCAAAGATTGTTGCAACAAAACTCTTTCATTTATTGAAGCAATACTTTAAGAAACGTTTTAACATTTGATTCTCATTTTCCTGCATTATCTTGGAGGTGTGTGTAATCTTTAATATTTATTGTTCGTTTTCTATTATATTATTAGTATTGCATTAAATACAGATGAATCAATTCATAAATAAACAATTCATATATTTCTTATCTTTAAGACCAATGGGTTTAAAAAGAAAGACACTTAAAAATAATGTTTCATTGTTTTTAATAATATTCTCTAACCAAATCAATATAATTTGATATTTAGTTGCAACAACCAAATGCAAAATCAACAAAATAGATTCTAAAATAAAGGCAAATTATCTCTTAAAG